CCGAAACGCAGTACTGCTTCACAGCAGAAATGGGGGGGGGGTGGTTCCTACCCGCACGGACTCACAAGAGGTCCTGCCATCATAATTCTCATACTAAGAGACACGGATTTGTTAGAATTAAGGAACACATTGCGGATGTCATGGTGGCTGATCATCTGCACAAGTCTGCAGCATGTTTACATGACCTGGGCTGTGGTGTTAACCATTTTATGTATGTATATGGTATATTTATTTATATTTAACCATTTTATCACACTTAATATTGATAATACAAGTTCTCGTTAAAAAGATAAGTTAATTCAATGAATGCTGCATTAGGTCATTAAATACATTAATCAATAGAAAGCATCCTAACTTTAATAGAGAAAATGGTTCGCACTTATCTGTCACCTGGGATCCTCTTATCGTGAAGATGAAAACCCAAGTCAACTGTCAGACCGCAAGACCCTATTACAGGTAATCCTCCTATAGTACGGTATTTTACAACACAATAACGAGATTTATGTTTCAAAATTAGTTAGAAAATTACATTATGCACTATGAACACACAATATATGGGAGTAACCAAAATTTTACTTCTTATTTTTTATGTATAATAGGTAACAAAATACATACAGGCATAGTTGAGATATTTCATTCAGAAAAAATACTCTCCTTTTTATACTGGTTTCTAGTCTAGTGTATATAACACGGTTTAGCACAACACGGGTCTTTGTAGGAACATATCTATCGTGTTATAGAAGCGTTATCTGTAGTTATTACTACTAGCGTGAAAACAAACGGAAAATAGTTAAGCACAATATTAAAATCTCGACGTATACCTTAGTCGACGAAAAAGTAATAATGTATTGGAAACGACGCAGGATTGGAAATAATAATATATTAAAAATAACAAAGAGGCGATTAAACCGTAAAGTTAATCTTAATAATAGTTTGAATTATTTTTACGACTTGCGCAAATTACATATTATAAGTTGTAGTTCCGTAGGAATATTTTTATCGTTTTTTTTTTTTTTTAATAATTATTATATTTAAATCTTAAATGCATTAAATGATGCTCGACGTTGGTACTATTTTAATTTTTTGCTTAAATCAATCCTTTTTTTCCTATAAAGGTAAAAAAAAAAAGTGTTTTCATTTAAGGCGATATCGCAATCCATGTCTTGTATATCAAAACTTTTCTACAAATTATAAGCATTTCTAACCTTTGAGGTAATTTTTTTGCATTCCTATACTACTAAAAAAGGGCAGTACCTCTTAGCAGAACCTTCGTACTTACAACCGCAGCTACCAAAATTACTTTTCTTGTTATTTTGGCATGATTACCCACGTTCTTTAACACGTTTATTTTATTTGTTTCTTCCTTTAATAGGCTTAAAGATTCAAGGCCCTTTTATTTTATGTTATTATACGATTACTGGAGCCCATAGATATCAAAACGTGAATGGCGCCATCGACCTCAAGACGTGAGGTCGAAGTTTCAATTTTATTGATGGCTCTTTCGCATCAGAAATAGGCAAAGTGGGTAGGTACTAACTAATGCAAGCTTACAATTAGTACGTTCTACTAACAGTACACAGGTATGTTAAGAACGCTGCTACTGATTCTCTGGTAAATAACTTAGTCGCCTTTTACGACACCCGCGTGAAGAGATGGGGTAGTGATGATCTAGACACCATGCAGTCTTTCTACCTGTTCTAATGACATATCTGTATGTTTTCGATATTCATAATATCATCGAAAAAATCTTATCCGCTATGTCTTTACATGAGGATTTAAAAAAAAAAACAAAAAAGAATTAATGGATTTCGGATGGGTTCAGTGTAGGTAATAACGAAGCTTGTTCAAGATTAAATAAATTGAATTGATCAGTAAACATTTGTAACCAGTATTTATTAATTTCAATTATTACAACAAAGCTCATTACTTTTTATTATCATTCTAATGTGTACTCTTCGCGCGGGTCTCGAAAAGAGATTTCTTAAGAAAATTGGCGGAGCTTTGACCATAATTTATATTGTTTTCTACTGTTGTTTTTTTTTGTGAGTTCTCAGGTCTCAAGTTTAGTTACAACGGCTGCCCAACCCTTCAAATCAAAACGCATTACTGCTTCACGGCAGAAATAGGCAGGGCGGTGGTACCTACCCGCGCGGACTCCCAAGAGGTCCTACCAACAGTAAAATTTAAAATTTTAAATTCCATTTTGCAAATTGTAATCCTGTATAAAGAGTTCTATGCTCTTTAGATGCATACCTTTTCTATTTATGTAACACGTGTATAGTAGTAATAAATGAAAAAAAATATGTTTTTAATGGAATTGAAATCAAAAGAAAATAATAATAATAATGAAATGAATAATAAATAAAGCAGCGGGTGAATTGTCAAGCGGAGCGGGCGAGCACGCGTGCGGTGGAGCGTGCTCGCTCCCCAGAGACTCGAGACATTCACGCTACTGGTAATTTCGATATTGGGAATCTTAATCGTACTATTTTCTCACACGTTCCTAAAGTATTACAGATTCTGAAAGCAAATTAAAATTATTATTATTAGCCGATCCATTAACGGTGCTTTTAGGTAACACAAGCACCGGTCACCGTCCTCGTCGAACCCGTCGCTTGCAACGAAGGGCTCGACGAGCGAATTAGCCCATAGACACAGCCCACTGAGTTTCTCAATGGATCTTCTCAGTGGGTCGTGTTTCCGATCCGGTGGTAGATTCTGCGAAGCACTGCTCTTGCTAGGGTCAGTGTTAGTATCACTCCGGTTTGAGCCCCGTGAGCTCACCTACTAGTTAAGGTTACGCTGAAATAGCCTCTCAAGGCTATTAGATTAGGTAGGAAATTTTTTTTAGCTTAAATTGACTAAATCGCGCATTTCTTAAGCGTCTGGGTGATTTCAAAATTTGCAGACACATTTAGAACGAATGATTATACAAAGTAATCATTATTACAACATAATATGATTTTGATTGGAAATAAAGCTTGTCGTAAGCGTATTTTCATACTATTTTAATTAATGGTAATCTCTGCTCACAATAAATATTTCTTGTTTGTGTTAATTAAAACGCTTTTATATTAGCTTCAGACGTATGTATGTAACAGAATCTTTGAACATGATTTTGACCCCCTTCAAAACGTCGGATTTACTCGAAATCTGGTATACTTATTAAGGACCGACGAAAATTCAACATTAAAAAAAAATTGAAATTCAACTAAAAAATGAAAAATAAATAATAGTTTAAAAAAACTAACAAAATACGCTTTTATAGAAAATCCAACTAAAAAATAGAAAATAAATTTTAATAAATTTGAATTAAAAATAGTGTAAGAAAAAAAAGCGTGGGGTGCATGGTATCAGTAGTTATAAATATTTAGTAGTTATATATATTCAGAGGAGAAGGGTTATTTTAATAATATCGTGAAAAGCACCCCGCGCTTTTTTACAATAAAATCATTTTTTCTTACCCTATTTTTAATTCAAATTTATTAAAATTTGTTTTCTATTTTTTTGTTGGATTTTCTATAAAAGCATATTTTGTTAGTTTTTTAAAACTATTATTTATTTTTCAAATAAGCTTCTGATGACGTATGTTTGTAAATCATAAAATTATAGTCTTCATCTTAAGAGATGAACAAAATTAGTGAACTTGTTGTACTATATCAAACACGGTACCAGTTGAAATTACACATCGTGATCAATTAAATCATTTCTATTAAATACAAACATACCTACACATACACAATAAACATATTATTATATTTGTTCTGAAATAATAATTGTTATACATATACTAATATTAAAAGATTAAAATTAAAGTTTCCAGCAGTAAAATTTATGTCGGTAGAGTTTACAGTGTCACAGTTTTATAATTCGTTTTATTATTATTCTGCATGAGCGAGCAAGTTCATGTTTTACTTGGTGGTAAGTGGTTACTAAATCTCATAGACATCACGTGAATATCGTCACTTACCTTGAAACATGAGGTGGAAATATCATTTGTATTTGGATAACCAAACTACAAGGTAAAATTGCTTTACTAAACAAATAATCAATGTAAATATATGTCCGTATGGGCTGACAATACGCTCCGCCATCAATAATACCGCAAAAAACAATAATACGGGGTTCGTTTTTATTATACGATGTCATTTCTTCAATACGGAAGTCATTGCCCACATAATTAGGAATTTACTCCCAGTGGGATTTGAACCCCGGCCCAGTGGCATAGCTTGACACGAGAACACGGCCTCTTATCCTTCTAGACCATGACGACTTTTTTAATATTATTTATACCTAGTTCGCTAAAAAAGAATAATTAAAAAGTAGGCTTCGAAAAGCTGTATATAAGATTCTTTGATTTTAAAAACTTACGTAAACTTTGAACTATTCAAAATCATCGAACATAACTTCGAAGTAAGACAGAAGTAACTTGCAAGGTTAAGTGCTAATACTTACAATCATTAATTAGATACATACATACCTGGACCGTTAATTACAACTTTTTTATTTTCCTCAATGACAAAGGAACTGTCGGCGAAAAGAAAAGTAGACAAGTGTCGTGACACGCACTCCCGAGCGAAGCCTGAGAGCGGGGGTGGCCAGCCGCCAATCAGGGTAGCTAGCTACGCCGCCGACAGCGACCATTGGCCTGCCTTCGGGGGTGCACGCCCCGCCCCGTCCTCGAGGCTCGCCCTTATTGAATTAGGCTTATCATTCGATTTCGAGTGGGGCGAGCGCGCGGTCCTCCGCGTCGGCAAAAACTATCACAGAGGCCCGATACCATCTGTAATCGGCATAATTCAATATACCCGAGGCTCATCCAATTATGTGGTTGTGAACCTTCGCGCGGCGCCCTCTCACACAAGACGCTCGCGCCCCGCGCGGCGCGGCGTTTTCGCCGTGTAATTATTGTTGTTTTGAATAATTTCCTCATTAAAGTTTGGTTAGAGCCCATGCTAGGTTTTGAACTGATTAGATAGTAGGAACGAAAAATTTAAATTATGGAGTACGGATACTTAAGTGGAGCCGGCGGTGGGTTTGACGGCGCTTGCTTGGGCACTGGAAGTGGTGAGCTATCATGGGGCGAGTTAGCCTCGTGCGGGCAGATGTCGCAGGCTGCCTACCGGTACCAAGGCATGCGGTATCAGCCTCCTCCTCCACAGTGTGCACGACCACAAGACGCCGCTATGAGGAATCACCACATTTTTCCACCATCCATGAACTTACAGCGTAAGTACCATAACTAAGCATAAATAACCATATGGTAATAGTAAACAAGAAAGCAAGCATCCGTATTTTTGAGTAACTTTTAATGCTTTAGTGTAAAAAACTGAAATAAAATGTATTTAACGTATAATTAATCCAATTCTTTGGAACTGTAGCCTGGTCTAAATTAAACTTATTTCATAGTATATAAATAAAATTTGATTGGGTTCTTGTCTACTATCTGATTAATTAATTAATTCTAATGACAGTAAATTAAGTAATAAATAAAAGTGGTGTTTTTGAAGAAACAATTTAAATCGGCTAGTAGGACTCCGACATTTAAGCCTTTTGAGTTTTGAGTGGAGATTCAGAGGAGATTTCTTTCTTTCTCTAAGTTCCTTTTCTCTAACCAGGTCTTGTCATAGAATTTGCGTCATAAACAGCGATGTTGTGTTTCAATCTAATGTCATCGCTGTTTTTTATGAAATTAAATAACATATTTTACTGGTGGTAGAACCTCTTGTGAGTCCGCGCGGGTATGTACCACCGACCTTGCCTATTTCTGCCGTGAAGCAGTAATGCGTTTCGATTTGATGGGTGGTGCAGCCGTTGTAGCTATACTGAGATCTTAGAACTTATATCTCAAGGTGGGTGGCGCATTTACGTTGTAGATGTCCATGGGCTCCGGTAACCACTTAACACCAGATGGGCTGTGAGCTCGTACCCCATCTAAGCAATAAATAAAAAAGCTGACTACAGTACCTCTTAATTCAAAACATTTCCGGTTTCTGCTTATCCCGTAGATGCTAGCCGGTAAATACTGCGTCCCATCATGAAACAATAGATTGAAGATTCAACTTCGATGCTTCGATAACAATTAATTCATACAGAGTACAACTACTTCGATAAGAATAAAAACTGCTAGCATCTCGAAATTTCACGTTACCAACCTAACTCTTCAAATGATTTTTCTACAAATTATTGATTTAATTATTATATAGGCAGGTAGGTGGACAGGCTGTGTACCCGGTGTTGTGTGGTTACTGAAATCTATAGACATTACAAGGAATATTCACACTGCCCATCAACCCATCAAGGGGGTTCAAGACACGAAGTCTAAATTTCATTATAATGACTGTTCCTACCCTTCAAACCGGAACTACTTTTCGAAAGGATTTTGTAGTGTTGTGGGGTCGCTGGGTATCTTCAGTTCTGAGGTCTACGTTGGTAGAAACACAAATTATGTTTTTTACGGGTCTTTTTTATTGCTTAGTTTGTTGGACGAGCTCACGACTCACTTTGGTAGGCAGCGGCTTGGCTCTGCTCTTGGCATTGCTGAAGTCCATGGGTGACGGTAACCACTCACCATCAGGTGGGCCGCATGCCCGTCTGCCTACAAAGGCAATAAAAAAATAATATAAAAAAACCTGATGTTAAGTAGTAGCCACCTTGAGATATGGGTTCTGAGATTTTACAGTACAACGGCTGTCCCACACTTCATAACGAAACGCATTACTGCTTCACGGCAGAAATAGGCAGAATGGTGGTACCTACCCATGCCGACTCACAAAATGTCCTACCGCCAGTAATTACGCAAATTATAATTTTGTAGTGTAATGGGGTCGCTGGGTATCTTCAGTTCTGAGGTCTACGTTGGTAGAAACACAAATTATGTTTTTTACGGGTCTTTTTTTATTGCTTAGTTTGTTGGACGAGCTCACGACTCACTTTGGTAGGCAGCGGCTTGGCTCTGCTCTTGGCATTGCTGAAGTCCATGGGTAACGGTAACCACTCACCATCAGGTGGGCCGCATGCTCCTCTGCCTACAAAGGCAATAAAAAAATAATAAAAAAAAACCTGATGTTAAGTAGTAGCCACCTTGAGATATGGGTTCTGAGATTTTACAGTACAACGGCTGTCCCACACTTCATAACGAAACGCATTACTGCTTCACGGCAGAAATAGGCAGAATAGTGGTACCTACCCATGCCGACTCACAAGATGTCCTACCGCCAGTAATTACGCAAATTATAATTTTGCAGGCTTGATTTTTATTACACGATGTTATTCCCTTCACCGTGGAGGTCAATTGTGAACATTTGTTAAGTACGTATATATTATATTATTTTATTAGAAACATCGGACGTCTTATCCTTTAGGACACGACGACTTAAAAGATATTTTTATATTGTTGAATATGACTGTTAAGTACATATTTCATTAGAAATACCAATAGGTAACAATACCTGCTGCGGGATTTGAGCACTGGCATTGTCGATTCACGCGATACGTGTAGGTACGCTTGGTCATTTATAACACCAAGCAATCATACATTCTAGATTGAAAAGAGGCCCTTTTTCCAATGCAATGAGTCTGTGGCGAGGCTTGGGGGAGGCCTATGTCCCGCAGTGGACGTCTGTGGGCTGATAGAATAGAATAAAAGTTTGCTCATTTTTTTTTTTAAATCTGTTTAGAAGGTATGACAAAAATAATTATCTATGTTATGTAATGGCTTAAAAGTGTAATTCAGTACATGGTATTTGAATAAAAAACAAAAATTCTTAAGCAAAAAAGTATTATCCTTTTAGTTTTGTCCATTCTTTCATTTGTTACATTTTTTATTTTAATTGATTTCTTTTCATTTTTGTAACCCTTAGTTTAAATTTTATTAAATTTAAAAAATCCAAATTCTTTTACGTTACGGATGGTAATTCTTTAAACATGGTGTAGATTAAATATCCCTTTTTCCATGAGGTAAAGTTACTGGTAATATGTAATTATTTTTTTTAAACTTATATACTTATAACATCAGTATAACTTTGAAAGTATTTCACAAATAAATTAAAAATGGTAAAATAATTTATTTAAAAAACATAAAAAAAAGAAAACCGACTTCAACAGACAAATAATAATACAATAACACACAAATAATAATAATATCAACAATGTAGTCCAAGTCAATTAAATATGCATTCTTCATGATAACTCAAAACCTACTGGTCAGATCTCGATAAGTTTTATATGGAACCACACGAAAAGCACCCGCTTTAATATAAGAAGAAAGAATCATCATAATAGGTTTACCAAGAAAAAATATTCTAAGGTAATACAAAAAAATACAGTCTAAATGAAAGAGCCGCTTCGTTCTTGAATTCGGTTAAAATTTTGAGAATAAGATAAGATAAGCCTTTATTAACAATCTAATTTAAGTTACATTTTTAATACACTTATTATCTAGTTTTATTATTCGACACCGGTTTCTGGATCGTCTTGCTGTACAGCATAGGCCTCCCCAAGGGTTCTCCATAATATTCTATCCTGTGTTTTTCTCATCCAAGTCGTTCCTGCCACTTTTTTGATGTCATCTTCCCATCTACGTTGCTGTCTTCCTCTATTTCGCTTTTTATATCTTGGACACAATTCTGTCACTCCTTTGGCCCATTTTTCTGTTTTATCTCGAATTAACTGTTAAAATAAAAAAAATTGAGAATAGTTTATTTTAAATGGAAGTTAAGTTTGATAGTTCCCAGCTAATGGAAAAGCGTTACCATCGCTTAACGTCAGCAATATCAGACAAGCCGTTACTGCTTAGTTCTCATCTATCCTATTGAAATTAAACTGTGCTGTTATGTTTATTTAAAAAAAATAAGTCACAACGAAAAGCCGTAGGTATTTACAAGCGTTAAAACTTTTAGAGATTCGAAAGCATTGAAACAAGTAAGTTGATTTATTGGTATAACTTATTATTACATAGTCACAACTCTTATTTTATTTTTGTAATAAATTGAGAATTATCTCGGACTTGTAGCCTCAAACCACTCCGAGTATTCTGTCCTTTTTTAAGTATTTGAAACTAAATGATCCATTATTTGTGACTAAAAGAATAGTTTTAGTTTTATAGAATGCAGTCGCTCAAACCTTTCAAAAATCTTTTTACTCGAATTCTTCTATTCCATGTCCTTGACTGTACTGAAGTATTATTCCTTTGGGCTATTGAAGTTCTTCTACATAAGTGTGAAAATATTGCAGAATCTGTGTATCTCATTCGGACGGGGAATGCAGAAATATGTATTACTATGTGTCTAGCACCCGCATAGTTCTTGATTGGTTGGCATCGTGATTAGCAGATTCTGTCTCTTTAGACGAATATTCGTAATACCAATGTACTAATTTGCCTTCGCGAGCACTTTAAGTGGCATAGGTACACAACTGCTTCTAGAACTTCTGGTGCCGCTTTGGTAATTCTCTTCTTCTCTCCACTATATATTTTTAGTCTTTACGATAAGTATTTCATGGTCCAAGTTATGTGCCTCTACAACTCTTTTCCCCATTGCACACACACTGTTTTTAGGAGACGAACTAAGGAATATTTCCTTTTACTTGGCTGATATTTTAATACACATTGTAAAATAAAATTTATTTATATTGGCATAAGTATGAATAGATATCTTTGTACATACAATAAGAGCAATATTTTTCATGATATTTTTGATGTCCTTTTATTAAAATTTTATTTAAATTTTATTTTAATTTCAAATAATTTCCTTATGAGCTACAGTCTTTAATATTACCATTAGGACCACATAACGTTGCATAAAATATAGAAAGAAAGGTTAGTTTTTTTTTCCTTTTATAAATATTTTTTGGCTCTTTACAGACAAAATAGAACAAGTCTTCAGTCTTCGTTATTGGTAAAGCTAAATCATTGGAGGCCGTCGTAGAGTAAAAGCAAGATCCTCATGTCAGTATTCAGACCGCGCTGCCAAGTGGGACTTTTTAATAAGGAAATACGTATTTAGCACGTGTTAACGAATGACTCCATATTATTTAATGAAATTGAAACTTGCCAAAAGTTTATAAATTTGCGTAACTGGTAGTTGGGTGATTTATGAGTTCGCAGGAACAGTGTGACAGTTCTTATATGTATAACATAGTTGAGAATTTGATTTCCTGTTTTGATATGGGTGGCGGCACTCACATTTTGATGTCTGTAGGCTCAGTTCTATCTAAGCACTTTTTATTTT